CCCCAAAACCCCAAAACCCCAAAACCCCGCAAGATCAAATAGAATTTGAGATTTGTCTATATTTTTAAGCTTAAAAAATAATAATAGATTACTCAAAATATGAATTTTAACGACGATTGTTATAGTTAAGAGGACAAGGAAAACTATTCTATGAACTTGCGAAACCCAGTTTCCTTCAACTATAATTCAAACACAAATATCAACAATAGATATTTCCATGAACAAAGCACTGATAACTAGTATTTTGAAACATGTGGGGGTGGAAGGAGTAGATCAAACGCGAATTTAAGTGTAAATTAGACCTATGAAAATGATGAGTCAAGTGTTAATCATAGTAACCTAGATTGGATAAATGCGCTTAATCATACATAAAATCAGAATAGTTGAGAGTTAAGTTTAAACTAAAGATACTTAAAAGTACCATAATAGCAATAGTTTAATTAAATTGATCACCAAAGCACATAGCAAAATACAGCTACTAGCTCTTTCTAAAACACTAAGAGATGTCTTTCACAGCCTCATTAATAGCTTAATTATCAGGCATATAATTATCCCCCGCATGATTAAAATGAGCACAATATATTCATCTAAGAGCAACAGCAAAACCCAATTAAAAGAGATGACTCTAAAGTCATGAAAAACTATAGAGAATTCATAGATGATGCATTGCATTCTCTTTCTCAGGAGAGACAAAGATAGAGCAGAGACATTGATCGGATTAAATCTGAAATAAACTCTATCAGAGATTCCTCCAGCAAGCCAAGAGGCGGCTATGCCAATTAAACTTAGTATAAGCCTCCTTTATCTAACAAGTCAAACTATAATAACTTAAACGGTAACTATAATTCCCTCAAAAGCACACTAAATAATACTTAAAGAGACCTTTCTTAGAGAGATTATTAGTCAAATATCCATACTTAATACTCTACTCATCAAAATCCATTTATGCCAACACTTGAGAATACAGCTAGAATAACTGATGATCATTTTATAAGTACAGGTACTCAGTAAAATATTTAACTAATGCACCCATACAGTTAGCACCAAATATCCAATCACAATTCATCCATTGAAACTTAAATGGAGGATCTAAACAATATTGACATTAATTACAGATCAGTTGTTGCTGCTGTATCAAGTTCCCATCGAGATAATAATTTATAATCACACTCAAATTAGCATTAAAATCAAGCTGAATAGACAGAGATAGAAATAATCAGGAAATAATTAAAGCTAGAACTTAAAAAGATTGAGCATGAGAAGGAAGCATACTAATAGCAGAGAAATCAGCTTGAAAAGCTTAATAAGGATAAGAATCAGGACATGTTAATGGAAGAATATACCAAAGTCAAATAGTAGTTATTTGAAACTAAGGTCAGACTAGACTTCGTTGAGAATGAGAAAGTAAACATGAGAAAACAAATCGATGAAAAAGATAGCAAGCTCAGGAAATTAGAGAGGGAGAATAGGGAACTCAAGAATCAGATATAAGACCAAGATTGCAAATACCTAAAAGATATGGAGATCACTGCCAAATATATTGAGTAACAAATGAAAGTCAGCTCTAAGCTGTCCAAGATTCTCAGACAGTACTTCTTAGATTACGAATCACATGATCAAGAAACACCTATCCTAGACAAGGCAGATATTTTAGAGAGACATTTGGTAAAAAGAGATTTAAAGAATTCTAAGAAGAGCATACTGATATCTAATTAGACAGATTAGAATTAAGATAAACCCAATAAAGATCATTTACAATAAGAATCAAGGAGTAAAAGTGGAAGCAAAACTCCATTTAGAATGAGTAAAGCATCTACTCACAATAGATCTTAGTACAATGTGTCTCAAAACTAGGATTATAACTTGTTGATGAGGAAAATGGATGATTTGGAAAGCGCTTTGTCTCATAAGAAAAATCAGCTTTTGTAAAATAGCAAGAAACAAACAAGCACCAAGAAAAAAAACATGTCTACTTAATTAATCAGATGATTTTAATTGATTATTTTGCTTTTAATGATTCAATTATAATTTATTACAAAATATTGCCAATTAAACTTAAACGGGGTTTTGGGGTTTTGGGGTTTTGGGG